AGAGTGTTTTGCTATATCTGCGTCTATAAAAATAGATTGTAAAAATATGTCTTTACTGTGCAATGCCAGGTTGGCACCGTGGTAAGTTGTCGCCTCACAGCAAGAGGGGTGGGGATGCCCCTGTGTGCTGAGTTTGTATGTTCTCCCTGTGTCAGTGTGGGTTTTCCCTGGGTCCCACAGTCCAGAGACACGTGGGTTAAGTTAACTGGTGGCTCTGTATTGCCAGTAGCTGTGATTTTGAGCATGAATGGTTGTCTGTCTCTACGTGTCAGCCCTGTGATAGTCTGGCAACGTATCTAGAGTGTACCCCACCTCTCCTGCGACCCCCAATAGGATAAGCGGTTACGGAAAATGAATGAGTAAACAAATAAATGTGCAATGCCAGAGAAGCTTCTGTTCTGTGTTTTGCATTTTCTGTTTTACATTATCGTTACTGACACTTTATACTCATATTAGGGGTGGGCAACACAAAACTGAGCCCATATCCAATTGTCTACAGATGTTACCATACCAGTTAGAGCCTGGTACCTTTCCTTTTAACATCTCTGTCTTAATATATCAGGTCACGTGGGCAATATTGTAAGTCATGGGCTATATGTTTATTATTGAGGGTGTCATTTGCAGTAGTGACTGCATGCAATAAACAAAACCATGGCAAAGTATTACCTCAATAATAAACATACAACATTAGTTAAATTATAACTCTCTGACAGTGCTGATCAAAACTAAACATTATTATCTTTGCAAAATACAGAATTTATGTCAATAGATTTGACAGGTATACATGTGGATGATGCAGGACAACCACTGCTCCACCTAGTTTAGTCTTGGCAAGGTGCTGGAAACATCAGTAGAAACTGCATACATATTGATGTAGAAACTTAATGTATATTAATATCTACAATCACAGACACTGTGATAAAGGATTTTGGTTAGAAAACTCTGAACAAAAAATGTACATTTGAAGCGAGAGATTTGGTTGATATTTTTAGTTGGCTGCAGGGAAAATGTGACTTAATTATTAGATTATTGTCTGTACTGTTATAGTTCAGTGAATCTCTCACACTGACAAGATGCCATTTAGCTTTTTAAAAATGCTTAAGTGATTTTCATGGCTTGGTGGTATCACATTACGTTATAAATTAAATCTTATTAAATGTTAATAGCCTAAATCTTCAGCATATGAGCGTTATTTTAATTCAAAACGGACAGTTTACACGTTAAATTAATAAAAGCGCAGAGTTGTGCTGCACATTTAGCTGATGAGAGCATGTGCTTGAGAAACACTGATGTTGTTGTAGGAGTTGATTGGAGCCTCTTCCAGCTCGGCTAACTACGCTAGCTAGTTTAAACACAGACAAAGCTAGCTCATTAACTAGCTGAAGGACAAAACAAACTTCTACCCATTTCTAATAAAGCTAGCTTTTGGAATTATCGATGCATAACGTTGACTTTGAAGATAAATGAGTGTAACGTAACGTCCAGATTCTCTTCCTCGCGATCATTGTTTAGGCAAAGCTAATTTCCGCTTAGCATCGGGAAACCTCGACACCGCTAATAAGCTAACTTCATCAACAGCTAACACTCTTAACGGCTGAGAGACATTGTTACCTCGCTGCTCATTGTCGCTGTCCCCATCACTCCCGAACAATTCATCCATGTCCGCCATTTCTTCTAAACTGTAGTAAAAATGTGACCTACAGGAAGTGATCGCCGGTGTTTGAGGAAAGGTTTTATTTCCGGTTCAAGCTGCGGTGGACATGTTGGTGTAGTGAGCGGTAACGGCCACAGGGAGGCGATGTACACCACGGTAAAGGCAGGGCCTGAGGCTCTGGTTCAGAAACACAGTAACATAAAATAGTCAAATAAAAAAAACAAAACAATTTCCTGTTTGACTTTTTTCTTGTTTTATATTTTCTTTTTTGTCAAATACATAAATTTGTGTTAGGCCTATTTTGTCCTGCATTTTTCCAGCATATGTTTTTGGAGGGCCTACAAAAATCAGAGAGTAGAGAAAAAGAAAACAAAACTTCTCTTCGGTTTCTCACGCTTTCCTCACACTTTTCTCTCTTTTAACAACTATTTTGAGAATATATTAAGAAAAGATAAGGCTTGTCAACAACACTGAGATGTAAAAAAATTAGAATATATGAATATATAAATATATAAATAAGAGCCAATTTACCTCTAACAAGGAAAGTATACCATGACATTTTTTAATATAAAATAAACAATATACAAAAATTACATAAAATAAAGTAAAAATGTAGAAAATCTATTTATTATTATCATTATTATTATTATTATTAGTTATTTATTTTATTTTAGTTTATTTATTTTTATTAAGACAAATAACATGCACAACCTATAGCAACTCACAGCACAGTACATGTATACATATCTGGGCGTCACACAGTCATGGCTAAGCCTCCCTCTGGCCACCAATTTAGACTTGTCATTAGCATGTTAACTTCTTCCCCCAAACAAATACCATAACATATACACATATACAATACATACACACACCGACGCACATGTCCAGAAATGATGTAATACATAAAACAGGCAAACACATGCCGACACACACACACAAACTCCATGCAGACAAATAAATAGACAAATAATAATGGAAAACGTTTTCCTTTTAATACAAAATAACTTAGATGCCTACAATCCACGTAGCTACTCAGTTTAGGAAGATAAAATTTGATAAAAGCAAGTAGCTCATGGCATTGTATACTACATCTTGCATCATATTTCACACACAGTTTCACATTTTTTATTAAAAGTGTTTACTTACAGGTTGTCTAGATTTGAGCATGTTATTTAAAGTAACATTTATAACCTACAAAACGTTAAGCAAAAACCTAGAGAGCAAACTAACCTAATGCTAACTACTAAATGGTCCCAAGACACTTATTCCATCAGTCTAAACATTGGTGTCATAGGTAATATAACATAAATAGAGACACATGGCAAGTGGAAATAACAGTACAGTGTAAATGGATATGAGTGTAACTGGCCATGATGCAGGCCAAAATAAAAACGAACCAACTATTTAACATTTTTGATTGGTTATTTGTTTTAGCAAAAATCTGAATGACTCTTTCTATGCTTGTAACTGATTATGTGCTGGCACACATATGACGTGCCTTTCAGTAGCAGGATTTTTATGCCAGGCTCTGACTCACAGCAGGGATATTAAAGCAATCATATTGTTGTGTTAGGCTGCGGCTCACAAGAGGACTATTATATCAATATTATTGTGAAGCTATAAAGGAAAACAGAGTGTATGAATGAGTGTCAAAAGGCAGACTTGCAGCTTCCATTGGGTATATTGCATGAAAACTGGGGCTACTGAGACTTTTAACACACATTTTGGCAACAGTAGATTTATTGGATCTGTCGTCTTCTCTTTCCTTGGTAAGGCTATATTCCTACAGTAATTATTTTCATTAGTGGGGCCAATCCCAGCTGACACTATCTGACACAGATCGCCACCCTAGATGAGAGGCAGAGGCAGTATATGAAAAGTTAAAGCCTATCAGATCATTTCTGACACCACAGAAGATAAACCATGCTGACTGCCAAGTGCTCGCTCACCCTGCAGTAAACTCTGTCTTTACCTTCAGCTAATATGTACTGATGTGCTGGTTTTAAATGGCAGTAACTTAGTTTTCCTCCCAGTACATTTCAACCCCTTTAGCTGATTACTATCCTTGATCTCATGTCAGCACCCACATCTCTTCCCAAAGTTTCTGTGTTACATGCAAAGCATCTTGTTACAGTGCACATATTGTGTGAACCCAGAGAGTGCATGAAATTCTATCTCCATTATTGTGTAACACAGTGTAGTTAAAAGGGGGATGAGCTCACCTTGATCTTTGCAATCAAGGGTAAGGCTTTTAGAGTACACACTGTGTGTTTTGTGTGAGAGAGGGAGGGTAGGAAAGACTGACAGAAAGAGTGAGAGAAGGATTTTAGTTTCACATGTGAGTATGAAGTCTGTCTTTACAAGTCTACGCGATATTTTGTTGTCCACTGCTTGGCAGCACCTGGAAGCTGCTTGACATCTATGATCCACAGATTTCACACCAAACACTATTTCATTTTGTCTGAGCCACCCACACTTATTACACTTAACATTTACTCAGTATACCAGCTGTTTAATTACATAATTACCAATTACTATTATTCTATATGTTTTTGTTTCTCATGCTGTAATTCACTGCCACATCTGTGTAGGCTACTCTGTATCTACGTCACCTGTGCATCCTGAAAGAGAGATCCCTGCCCAGGGGGGGTCTCTCTTTTAATCCCTGTCTTAAAGAGATTGTTGTTGTTGTTGTTGTGTAGATGATGTCATGTGTTGTGCAGACTGAAACAAAAATGTGATTTGGGGCTATACACTATTAATCACATTGACTTGCCTTGTCTTATGCCTCAATTTAAGTGTGTTCTGTGGCAGTCTTTTGATCATATAAACAATATATAAGAGTGCTATTTAGGTCACACCCATTGCAGCTTATGAAGGTATAGCAGTGAGTATTGTGGCTAAAACAAATTATTAACTCAAAGTGAACTTACTAGCTTTTTGATGAGCTTTTAACTGCTTCTCATGGTCTCCAACAGCAGTTGGAGTTTGCACAGTAATCTTGGAGATGTGATAAATAGTTAACATATTGATATCTAAATAGCTGGCTGTTATAAGTGCAGTGATAAAATAGTTTTTGTGGGCAATATATTTTTCAGTCCTGGTTAATGGGGTGTAATTAGGATGAGCTATTGCCCAGTATTTTTATTTTATTTTATTTTATTTTATTTTATTATTTCATTCTATTTTATTTTCCTTCTCTATCTCTCCTGTGGTTGGTCCTTCCAGGTAGAAAGAGGCGGGCTGACTCACGCCATTGGTCCACGCCCGGCAGACTCCCTGTTCATTGGTTCAATCTGACGTCACTCAGAGAATGCGCTGGCTCTCCCTTCCTGTGTTACCGCCCTTGGGCTGAGAGTGAGAAATCAGGCAGTGAAGACATCGCATTCATTGGGAAGACAGACGTTATTTGGACATTCCTTAGTTAGGTCCCATTGACGTCAGGTAAGAAAATGAACAGCTCGGGGGTTTGGGAATTAGCATATTAATTCAGTGAACTTGCTAGCCGTACAGTTTAACACACTATCACTTCTAAATGTGCTGCTTTAGCTAAACGGCTAGCAACTTGACTCAACTGTTAGCCTGTTAGCTACTACATGTCATCGGGTTATTTCGCATGGTGGGACTGCATCCGATAAATGTAGCCAAGTTACCAAAGTAAGAGTATCATTTACCGCTTTGTCTGGCTTTAACTACTCATAGCAAATGTGTGGTATCTTTTAGTAGGCGACGATAATCATTATCAACGTGTTAACTGTCAGCGTGACAATCATAAACATGTCAAGAGCGAGTTAGCTAACGCCGCTCCGTAGGCACAGGAGATGGATGAAACTATTTCATTGAAGATACCAATCAAAGGGGCACAACTGTTAAAGTACTGCTGTATATAATATCGATAGTGCGATATGGTATGTCACTTTATGGCAGTAGAAAGTGTTTTCTAATGACTCTGGCATCTGGTCATAGTTCTTGTTTTATTGTGTATGGCTGCTGCTAATTGTATTCACAATGTAGGACTAATTTAATCTTAGTTGTCCATCCCTGTCAGCCTGACAATGCATTTTACAGACAGGGCATCAGTACCCCCAGTGTCTGGCTAAGACAAGGATTTCAGTGTTTTTTAGGACATAGTTTCGGTGGGGTGACTCACATCAGTGTGCAGGGTGAGGGCAAGGCTGTGGCTTTAACAGCAGTTTTACTAGTTTGATAGGTGCAAGGTCATTGTGCCTGTGTCACTGAGTGTAATGACACATGCCTTGCTAAAGAGCTCATGTATGGGTTCATGATTGTGTGTTCACAAAAGTCTTTTGACCAGCAGGGCTCAATGGGGAATGAAGGGTGTGGTCCAAGTCTTAAGAGGACGTCTGCTTAGAGAAGTATAGCTTCCCCCTTAAAGCCTGAGGGCAGGTGACCCTTTTGAAGGTGTGGAGCAGGTAACCGAGTGGAATGTCAGGGCGACTGCTGACATGGCATTTTTCGTGCCTACCGAGTACCACCCTCTGCACTGCAGCATTACAGATAAACAGGCTCCTCAGATAGGATTTGTTTAACTTGCATACCTTTCACTGGAGAGTGAAACCTGGCCGTGAGAGCCTAGTTTCACCCCAGGTGTAATGCAGCCACAGTAGCAAAGCGTGACTGTCATTAGTTGTTTTTTACAAAGGCATGAAAAGGCAGCCTTTCTTGGACCTGCATCATTCATGCAAGTCCTTGCTGAGTTGAAAGGCAGGGCACTCCTTGAAATCTGCTCTCATTATATAATAATGGTGTGTGTGTCTGGAGTGTGCTGCTAAAACAGAGGAGTATACAAATCATGTGTGTTTGTTTGAGAAACACCCCACTTCCTGTCTGGCCTTTGCCAGGTCTGTGCAAGAGTTGGGAGGGACAGAACATGCTTGAGTGAATGAACAACATAAGTATTGGTTCTTTTTCCTACACATAGTTTTTGACTGTTAAACTAGAAGAGATAATAATACGCTTTTACTCTCCTGACATCTATATCTTCTCATTCTTTTCACTTTTTCATGTATTGCAGTTAAGTTACCTTAGTGACAGCATGGTCAGACCTGCTGTTGCTATCTCTGTCTCCTTCCATGTTTTCTCTCATTTCTGACACTTCAGGCACCTCAGGAGGTGGATGATAAAAGGGATAAAAGAGAAGTGAGTAACAACAGGGAGTAGAGACATAAGAGTAGAGAATAAAACTGTAGAGGAGTAGGTGGTAGGAGGAAGTGCAGACTCTTGTCCCCTGGGTAGCAGAGCTGGGTCATTCTAACTATAGTCTTTTTGTGTTGTTGGGGCGGTGCTCTATAATAATGTAATAACCAGTCAGTGTTTCCTGTTCAGCTCCAAACCGCAAGTTACTATTCCTCCAGGTTTTGTCTCTGAGATTTAAAATAGTGCAGGCAACCTGGATATTGATTGCAAGAGTTATAAACGTAGTAGGTTTTTTTTTTAGCTGATAAGGGTTATATTGTATTAGCCAGAGACATCTGGGTTGGCGGATATCACATTGCATACTTAATGATCCAAATAATCTTAGAATTGTTGAAAGATGATGAAGCCTCGCCATTTGACCTGAAACTGGTTCAGACATATCATTTAAATACACGGGTAACCATTGTTGGAGGAAGTGATGAAAGACGTAGAAACCATATTTTACATTCTACTTCCCTGTTTTCTATTACTTGATTTTTCAAAGATCATGGTTGGTATGTTGGCCCTGAACAAAACAGAAAGAAAGAAACATAGTACAATGTAACTTTGGTTAATGGGCATAGATGTTATGCATATTTACAACAATAAAATAGCTGTTTGTTTTGTCTTTTACATACACATTCAGTAGATGAATTTTTCTACTAGGGCTCGATTTAACTTTGTGCAGGGTTTCTGTGGGTCCTTAAAAAGTCTTAAGAGGCATTGAATTAATTAATCTAAAAATAAGGCATTAAAAGGTATTAAATCATCGGGGCATCGGTGGCTTAGTGGTAGAGCAGGCGCCCCATGTACAAGACTGTTGCCGCAGCGGCCCGGGTTCGAGTCCAGCCTGTGGCCCTTTGCTGCATGTCATCCCCTCTCTCTCTCTCCCCCTTTCACACTTAACTGTCCTGTCCATTAAAGGCAAAAAAAATGCCCAAAAAATATCTTTAAAAAAAAAAAAGGTATTAAATCAATCTTTCAAAGTCATTAAAAATGCTCAGCTGTTGGAAATAGGATTTTTATGACTCTTTCTTCTTCTGACGTTGCATTGTAAAGTCTCAAAATAATCAGCAATGTTCATTTTTTAAAAATAATTTACTGAATTCATCTTGCATTAAGTTCACTTAGATCCAGATAGCAGAATCAACAACACTCATATTTTGTTTCTGTCTGGGATGCTCAGAACAGAGGATCCACTGTCTGCTAGCTAGCTGTTACTGTACCCTGAATGACACGTGGAAGCACAACGAAAATTGGTTATTTAACTGAGGTTTAGCAGCATGGCTGAAACCGCTACAAGGCACTGCATATGAAGCTTGGTTGCAGACAAACTCCAGATTTTACCCATTTCTCTACTATCTTCATCTCCGCCATATATTATTATGCTACAATAAACATTTGGGCAAAATTGTCCCTAAACCCTAAGTAATTGATGTTGGTTCTTGTTTTGTTTTCTTTGGTTTTTGTTGCTGTAAAATTGGTCTTAAATCCCAAGTGGCATTAAAAGAAAGTCTTAAAAAATCTTAAATCAAACTTGTCTTAAGCTATAGGAACCCTGTTTGTAAACTTTAGCCTTGCCTAAATCAGCCAGGTTTTACCACTTGAACTTTACCCCTAAACCTCCAGCCTGTCAGGTGAACTTAAATTGTGATATTTATGGCTTTGTCCTTGTGCAGTCCTCAATAATATGCTTATGTGGCCCAACAGTAGCCCGAGTGCACAGGTCAGTGTAGGAAAGTGTAAGGTGAGCATAGAGTGCAGACAGGTTGGCAGTATTATTGGCTCGGAGCCATCTGTTGTTGTCTTCAAGGATTAGCAGAGGGGAGAGGGAGAAAGGAATCAATCAGATTGGACTAATGGATCAGTGTCTCCACTTCGGGCCTGAGCCCACCCATTGCCATCATTATCCCTGTCTGCACGCCCCATTACTTTTCTGTCTGCAGGCTCAAAGCTACTGCACCTTAATGGTAAGGGTGGCTGTTGTTTTTGAATGTGTTGAGTTATACGTCAGTGAAGCGGAAAGTGTTTTTGAGAAAGTAGGATGATATGTTAAATGGTGTTAAATTTGAGCTGCTTGTCATAAGAGCATTATGTGTGTGTTCTGTGTGACATAACACTGGTCCCAGACTGGTGTCTCTGCTTTTCCCAGGTCTTGGTCAGAATTGTTGTCTCATCATCGCCTTTTGCATGTTGTTAGAATTAGTCTGGGTTATTTCAGCAAAATTAGGACCAAGCAAGTCATAAATCAAACTTCATATGATGTAAGATCAATATTTTCATAGGTTGCCTGACTGATGTGGAAGGAAAATGAAAAGAGTTAGGCTGAGATGTGAGGGCCTTTTGGCAGAATGCATCAAAGTCTTCATTCTCACATAATCCCAGTAAAGCTTCCATGTGTTATTGTGTCCCTGGACATCCCAGTGTTGATTATGAAATATGAACAAAACTCCCCTTTCAAAAAAACACGCAAGCAAAGGCTTGTGATGACGTCATGAGAAACAAACCCTGGCGCTGTTCCACGATCGCAGCACAGAGGACTGCTGTTGCGGACACAACAGGCAAAATGATTTTCATATGATTTGGATTCAATGGATATTTTTAATCTGTGAGATGGATGTGTGTTGGTTCTCCTGTGTATGTCATTTTTAGGATTTTCTTCTGTAAGCCTGTCGAAATGAAAGTTTTATTCACATTATTTCACAGCCTGACATTTCAATTTGGGCCACATATTTAAGTCCATTTCTATTGTTTCACCACCTTGCTTGTCTAGCACCATTAGCTTAGCTTCACCTGAGTGGCTGATCTCCTTCTTCCTAGTTAGCTGAGATAATATCCTGCAGTAGTCATTACTCTACTGACACTGTTTTCCAGGAACGGATTAAACTACTCTACGGTGTAACATTAATAGGCTGACATTATTATTGTAGCTCATTATATTCACCCGCTTTGATTAAAGCCATCAGTTCTGACATTTGGGCTCAGCTTTATTTGCTGGCTCTGAGGCTTGCAAATGCCCCTGATATGACTCTCGTAATTGTATCACAAAATAAATGTGTGTAGTTGTAGAGGTCTAATGGAGGAGGTGAGGAGAAGAATTAGTCCAGGACAGAGCTTGGATTGTGGAGAAGTAAACAGTCAGAGAAACACAGGCGGTGTCAGACTCTGAGGGAATGCCTCTGAACTTGAGAAATCACTCAGGCAGCTCCGGGGAAATGGCACTTAATGTTTAAAGAATCTTTGGCGAAAGCAGGGTTGAAGCACAGCCAGGTTATTTTTTTCTGCTTGATGCTGTATTTTACAATTGACATGAATCAGTGAGACTGATGCGATATCCCTGCAAGTGAGTACTTGTTATGCCTAGTTAGTATTTACAGAAACACACACAGCTGTTTTTTTTTTTTTAACAATAGCATGAGCAAGCAGTTTATGTATCTGTGCAGTTAAGTGTGTGCGAGTGTATGGGACTAAGAGCATCTGTGGAGTCCTGCAGGGAATCTGAAAATCATGAGGTCATTTAGTGTTGGGACTGTGTCGTGGGAGAGGGAACTGAAGGCTGAAGCCTCCTCATTCTGTTTGACAGGGTACACACTCACTCCTTCACACTCACTCATTCATTTATCTGAGCTTTATTTAATCTCAACGTTGGTGTTTTATTCCTATAGGCTACTTCTACGTAGAATTTCCACCAGTGTTTCCTGCCACTGCTACAGATTACTTCATTTTCAGGCCCCTTAGTCGTTAAAAGAAAATTATACACATGGATTTTCATATCCTGTAGGATAAGCTTCTTTTGCTTCGTCTTTTTAGCTGTAAATGTGTTTTTAAGTAGCACAGAGTTGGTGTTCTGATAAAGATGTCCTCGTGGGAGTGGTCAGATGATTTGCCTCAGCCTGAGAAAGTTCTTCCTTTGTTCCAGCTGTGTGTATGTGTTACATCACCGCAAGACCTCGTTATCCAGCCCAGCTGTGATCAACTATTGTTTCACAGGGATGAGATGTTTATTTCAGTTAGGATATATTTACATTACATGGTTTTAATGGGGTAAATTAAGATACATGTAATGCGCCATCATCGTGAATGTTTATTTGTGTGTGTTTGTCTTCAGGTAGCCTCCCCCTGGTCTGAAGCAGTGAGCCTGAGAGGGAACATTGTGGCTGTGGTCTGCTGTTCAGTATTGCGTAGCGAGCTATAGCCGGCACCATGGCTGTGTCGTTCAAGAAGGACATGGACAAGTACAAGGATCTCGACGAAGATGAAATCCTCAACAAGCTGTCGGCGGAGGAGCTGAAACAGCTGGAGACGGCCCTCGAGGAGATGGACCCTGAGGTCAGGACTCAGTGAGGGTTGGAGGGGCTCCAGGGCTCTTTAGTGGGAGGGAGTTGGGTGGCAGAGGGGTTTGTTGGGAAGTTGCCAGTTAAAAAATAAAGAAGTCTTTATGCACTCATAAAAGCAAAAAAATCTTTGCAGCAATTGTTTTTATTTTCAAATAAGGGAAACGACTAAAATCTTAGCCATGCCCCAGTTTTCAGAAGAATATACCTAGTACCAACAAGTTAATGCCTCTTTGTTGGACTTGGTTGAGGCAGATTAAGGTCGAGGGAATCCACAAAAAATATAGTATACCATTATCATAGGTTACTTCCTGGGATGCACTGAATGTCACAAAGTCAAATCCAAGGGTGGATTTTTCCTTCTGCACCTCCTAACTACACCTCCCAGTCCCCAGCGTCCCTGGTTGGGAAAATCATTTGAAGGGAAGTCTCAGCTGCAGCAGCTCTCTCTGCAGGCTGCCAAGTGTTTGTGTGTTTATTTGTGAGTGGAGCTAGAGAGTATAATGAAATCCCTCCAAGCGACTGGGCGTTTTATTTAAATTCCATCTAAACTGACTGAGATAAATCACCCCACATGGTGAGCATTGAAGGCCCACAGGAAGCAGTCAGCAACAGTGGGAAAATATTAATTTCTGGATCGCATGGCATCAAATAGACAAAGTGGTACTTGGCATGTTCACAAAGAGAAGCACTGCTAGTTTTACTAAACGCAGGCTGGCTAGACAAAGTTTTCTGAATGTTCACACATCCTCTGTCACCTCCTCCAAGTTTTTACTCACCTACAACAAATGGTCCTCAGTTGGTTGCATTTTTACATTGGGTGTTTTTAGCCAAGAAGTTTCAGTTCACATGCATCAAGTTCAATGAGTTCATGGTATGTTTACTTCCTGTTGGAACTTGTAATTCATGTTTCTTTCCCATGTGACTCTCCTACATCTGGCATTGATGCCAGCTACCACAGAGAACACAGATGTAAGGAATATACTGGCTTTTACTGTCAGCGCTGCATCGGACAGAACTTTGAGAACATACTTAAGTCTGGAGTAGACAGGCAGATGTTAGATGATGGGGGCTTGGGGCTAGATTGGACAGCACAACAGCCATACAATGAAACTATATAAGAATAACAAATGTGGTCCAAAAAAACTGGTCCAAAACACATAATAGTAAATCACGATAGATACAATAAGTAGCACAACATGCTAAGTATAGACAACAATAACCAACATGATTACAGTGTGAAAGGTGTTTACACATTTAGCAAAGATTTAACTTTAGGTATGAAAGATTTTTAGTGTTCAAGGTTTCTGACGCAGCTCTACACAATCTTCCCAAGGGTAATTGTATGAATTCTTTGAAAAGAGGATGAACAGGATTGGCCACAATTTGTAGGGCTTTTTGTTTCACCTGCGTTTTATATACACATCCCTGTAGTTTCTGCTCTTTGCCAGTAATTTTGCTGATCATGTTTGTAACTCTGGACAGTCTGTTCTTATCCCCCAGGTGCCCGTACCATGTACACGTGTTAAAAGTTAAAACACTTTCAACAAAACTTCTGTAAACAGTGTTTAAAAGACTCTTGCTTATGTCATATATAGCTAATGTCCTGATTAGATACAGGCACGGCACTGCTTTTTTAAAAATGTATTTTGTGTTAGCTGTGCAACTTATAGTGCGATCAGAAAAAGGTTCCTAAATATTTGAACTTCACTACTGTTTCACCAGGCTGGTCATTAATCAGAGCAAGTGGAAAACAATGACAGACATTGTGTTGACTCACAATACCCGGCTTCTTAAGGCCAAAATACATGAGACAGGGATGCAGCGCCACACGTCTGCCGCAGCGTCACAGAGCGCCTCCATTTTTTAATCAACTGAAGCTGCTACACTGACCACAGAAGCTGCGTTTGCCAGCATGGACATCTTTGAGCTTCTTTCTATTTTTACGTAGCTGGTTTTGCGCACGGCTCAGTGTCCCTCCAACAATTAAAAACTATACTGAACTGTGTAAGAAACAAGTACAGTCTGTTTAAAAATAATTGAAATTAAAAACTATTCTATACGCTGCTGGACTTGGGTAACGAATTTCGTTCTTTAACACGTTTGAATGACAAAAAAAATGAACCTTGAACCTTGAACCTCATTGTATCAGAGGCAATGCTAAGCAGTAGAGCAATTTCAAGGGTGTTTTTACATTTCACGTTAAAATAAATCATTGCATTCTGTTGTTAAAGTGATCCAGGTTATTGATTCATTACCAGTTATTATAGTCTAGACTCTACATGCTTCCAAACCCTGCAAAACCAACTGCATCATCACTTTGCGAAACACTTTCTGTGTAGCAGGGAAAAAACCTGCTCCGCCCTGCCTACGTGATGTGCCTTGTCTGTGCTGTGCCCCATGTATTTTGGCATTTAGTCTTTCTTTTGTATTTTGTTTAGAGATACATTTACAGCCTAAAAGCCACAATTTACTGTAGTGTTTACCCTGTACCCAAGTCTGTAATGAATGTTTTGAAGTCTTCATCAGTTGACAAGTCTAATGAGTCTCATTGCCTTCTCTCCTCAGAATGCTCTCCTCCCAGCTGGCTTACGTCAGAAGGACCAGACGTCCAAGAAAGCAACAGGATCATTCAACAGGGACAGCCTTCTGAAATACCTGGAGAAGGAAGCCATGGAGTACAAGGACAGAGAGGATGTAGTGCCCTTCACAGGGGAGAAAAAAGGTGTGTGTGTTTGTTTACAGAGAGTCACTCCAACATGAATATTTACTATTTTAAAACCTGCACATCAGAATCTTTATGTTTAGTTTTTAAGTGCTTACTGGTGTGTCCTACATGTTACATGTTAAGGGCTTTCCAATAGACTGTCTTGAAATGACGACAACAAAACAGACGCCAGTAGGGATATTATACAGTGTCATATAGTGTACCTCGCCTGACTCTCATCAGTAACATCATTAGTGTGTTGCTATCACATGTTAGTAATGTATTTCTCAGGGGGATGGAGAACCAAGGTGTGTTTGTGTGTGTTTGTGTCTGTATCAGCAGTACAGACATACAGCAGTAATTACTGCTCTGCTGTCTTAGGCAGGTATTATTAATGGATGTCTGCTCTTATGCAACATACAGCAGTGTGGGGGAGGTGTGTTTGCACGAGGGGATAGCAGGTAGGGAGTGTCAAAGGAGGAGGCAGGGTTAGGATGAAATGTCTCGAATCCATCTGTTTGCTGACGTTAGTTCAGCTTTGTTTGTGTTATGTCTGTATACAGTATATTTACCTGAACATATTAGCATATTCAATTGTGTTTATTGTTTATTTAAAATCAGAAAATGAAAATTAGCTGTTATTAAGGTGTACAAGGATAAACAAACAAAACAGAAAAAGGTTGTAGGCACCCATGGAAAAAGAAAGGACAGGAGCACACTGATTGATTTGCAGCGTTTAAATCTGCGCACTAACGTTTCAACACTACCATCTCCTTATCAGTGTCTCTGTCTGTTTCAAAGGTTTCATGCATTTTAAAGGTGCATGTGGATCTACTGTTGTGCATACTCTCTGATGTGGGAAGGGTTGTTTACATTGACGAGGCAATTGTCGAGGAGTCAGCAAACAAGACTGAATAGCTTCATGCATGAGAGTTTATTCTCTATAGAGAGGCTCATAGTTTGTGCCCAGAACAGTGAATACAGGACATCTTTATACCAACACTCAGACGACAAGATGATGAGAAATCAACTGTAGCTTTCTTGAGCTTTCCTGATTTAATTGTTCTCTTGATTACATCAGAGGAGCATACCTGTTGCAGTCTAGTATATAACATGTTAGGTAATCGGCTGTATCTGTTAGACAGTCAATGGGCTGTCTTTGAAGGCGAGATTATAGTGAATGTAAATCACCTTACCATGAAAGTAATGACAGATGTTTACAAAAAGGGAAGAAGACAAAATTTCCACCACAACATGTAAACCAGAGATGAGCGAGCCAGGTCGGTGATCACACATATATGATATTGGGACAGTGCAGTACCACAGTGAGTGTGCTATGAGACAGTGATGGATACCTGTCTTTCACAAGCAGCCGAAGGCGGTGCGTTAAGCTGTTAGCTTAGTAGTGTTGAGTGTAATTTGAATTTTGTTACCAGGCTGGGTTTCAGTTGTCACAACATTTTTTGAGCTTCGTTAACTGTGTCAGATCTTCCATACTCAGTTATTATTTTTCTGGCTGCTGAGCTCTTGGAAAACTCCCAAACTAGAAAGCGTGTTGTGTTACTATGACAACGGACAACTGTGATGTCATTAGCTGGAGCGTAACTGCACGTTAAACTGCGTTTTTAATTATGTGATTTTGATATTGCTTTATCCTCTGTTTCCATGTGTTTGAAAATGTAACATAAGGGCCCTGACACACCAAGTCGATGGTCAGCCGTTAGTCAGTGTCGGGCTGTCGGTGAGTGTCTCTCGCCCTAGTTTTTGAGGCGTGTCCTGCACCATTGGCGCTAGTCAGCCCCCTTTATTTAGCAATAGTGCACTGTAAATATAATGAGTGTATAATGTGTTCTTCCAACATCGGGTTTTGTTGCCCACTGGCATATTAAGTCTTGAATCTGTCCGGTTGGTCTTCCGGTTTCCATTTTTAAATAACAAATATAGACAGTAGCCACCAGATGGTACAGAGTTATTTCCTCTCACGCAGGTACAGAACGTGTATGGTTATGGTAAATGGACTGCACTTGTATAGCACCTTTCTAGTCTTCAGACCACCGCGCTTTTACACTGTGAGTCACATTGTAAAGTGACACCTGCTATTCAGTAACCACACGCACTCACACATGGATGGAACAGCCACCGGGAACAATTATGAGTTGAGTATGTTGCCTAGGGATACTTCGACATGCGCTGATCTTCCGACTAAGACGACCTGCTCTGCCTCTGAGCCACAGCCTCCCCTGTATGCTTGTTGGCCATTGGCTGTAGACTTTGCGGTGTTTTCAAGTGCAACTTCTTGGCTGAGACACAGACGATATGAGGCAACACAACAGTTGGCCTTCATTGTCACTAATTCTTTGATGTCGGTTTGGTGTGTCAGGGCCTTAAAGTGTAGTTAGAGTAAATGCTGCAGACTTTTTGATGTGGTAAAAGGGTAATAAAAACCCTTGAATAAATGAACAATGATAGGATAAATCTTTCGGCACCCTTGGCCCGTCGTCAAAGAACCCTAGAGTGTCTTGTCATCCACTTTCCAACCACCATTGATAGTTATTAGTAAACCATAACTTGATGTGCTCAAGACTGAGGCTCAGGCTGAGGTATTCCTCAGACAAAACTATGCAAATCTGAGCCTAAAACCTTATTTGAATATGAGTGATTTCTCTAGTTGACCTAGATTATTTTTGTTTGATTATTTGTTTGCTCATTGATTGACATGTCAATCAACAAATATCTTGGGGGCTCACTGGTTAAAGGTGTTTTGAGTCCAGCTGTGGAGTTAGTCTCATATCAGAACTATACAATGAAGTCCAACTGCCATAAAAAATATTTTACAGCCTTTGAGTGTGATTGTATGTGATACTCACACAGTTATATAATCAGGCCTATAGTATTGGCATTGAGAGAGTGAAAAGACACAAGGCCTTGAATGTGGGATGCATCATCATTACAACAGTATGCGATACCACAGAGTTGTTTACCCAGAGGGGAATAAAATTGTCGGAGGATTTCTGGAGTTTTGTCAGATGTTTGTGACAGATTTTTTTTCCCTCACAGACATAAACACACACTGCTGATCCAGAATTAATGTTGCTGTAAAAACTGAAATAACCTGATCTCCTAGAGGAAGAAACCAGTTCTGTCCAAACAGGTTTTAAGACATACTTGTGTTAATCCATGACACTTTAGAAGAGGGAAAAAGAAGATGCTTTATGTGACAGCAAACAAAGTGAGCAGAGCAGAAACATTACTGGGTGGAAATTCTTGTGAAGAGGAGTTCCTTTTGTTGGGATCTCCAGAGACCTGAACACTACTCCCTCACTGGAGAGTAAATATGGAGCTGACATCTTCCCCCTAACCCAACCCTGGCCTGTTAGAAATTATACTCCCGCTGTGTGAATGTGTGTGTGTGCATGAGTGTGTGGAGTCCCTGTGACAACATGGAAAACTGAAATCACTGTGGTGGTTCTGTGGAATGTTGCTGATTCTCTTCCCCTTGTTAAACCCACCCCCTGCTGATAAATAATGTGGTCATGAGTTTGTGTTCGTCTCCTTTCAATAATGCACATAATTTCAGAGAAAAACAGCCTGCTTAAATGCCATGGCAACCATTGTAGCCTTTTAACCACTTAAATGATATTATATTGGGTCAGTTCTTCATATTGCTTTTCTAAAAAAAAAACCCCATTGTTTTTAACTTTTGTTTTCCTCTGGGTTTGGAAGCACTTAACGTGAAGAAGTTTGGGCTAGATAGTGGTTTAGATTGTTAAAGGAAGATGTTTAGTATGATTGTATTTTTCAGTTGAGGTTTAAAATGGCCACAGCTGACGTAAACATCATCATGTGTCAGTGCAATGGAATACTTATTCCTTCTTACACTAATTGAAGCATTAAAGGCACGCTTCTTTGCAAGTATGATAAACATCATGTTCGTTGAGGTCACACTGGAGGGTGTGGCTGTTCAACCAATGACAACACACAAACACACAGGAGCTCTATACCACACGCCTCCAGTGTTCACTTTGTTATGAATTGCTGTCATAGTTGAAGCATTTGCCATTAAAGGAGACCTGTCCATATTTTGTGTCTTATATATAATCTTACAATAAGGGATGTTGATATTAAACTTGGCCAGAGTTACAAATAATGAGGTAACTCTACGTACAAGTAATCTATGTAAGCAAAAACCTCAGGCTTCACATTGTTCTGAACACTCTGTTTGCATCGTTTTTCTACTCTCATCTACAGTATGAGTCTGCCAGATTTCTTTATGGTAATCTGCTCCAGGTGGTTTACATTATATAGCATGCACTGCTATATGTCGCTACATGCTAACGACAGGGAACCATGTGATTTTGGTTGCCGATGTTGATCATTTCCCCCTGATTTCTAATCATATTTCTGCTGGAACATGTCTGGTTGTGTTTAGACGCTTTATAAAGTGAATTTTCACGGGAGAAAATGCTGCTATTCCTCATTACAGTCATTCCCCAGCTGCAGTGACGGTGCAGAGATGCTGAGATATGGAAGGCCCAGAAATATCGACCAATCAGAGCTGACCAGGTTTTTGGCTAGGCGAATTTGCATTTCTGAGGATAGCAAAGGCATGGCCTGCCCTACCCTAACCTGCCTCACTCATCTTGCCTAAACCTAACCAACCCCTCCAATGAAGGCAACAAGTACTGGCCAGTCAGAGGGAGAGTAGGGGGAGTCATAACCTTTAAATACAAGTATGAACCTGAAAATGAGCGTAATAGGTCCTCTTTAAGCAGCCATGTGTAACAGAGAACTGGTACAGCAAAAGCATTAAATCTGTTACTGCTAAATTGACTGCTCAAGTTGTAATAAAAGTTCAGTTTATTAGGGATTACTCTCGTTGGTTACATCATATTTTTATCGTTTTGGGCTCATATCTATGTGGTCAACAAACCAATAGGTTAGCCAGACTTAATTTGAGAATACCAAAGCGAACAGTTTGTGTAAACATCAGTTTACAGAGAAATTTCTGAGGTCAAGTGATCTGGCTAAACTGTTTGTGTGTTCATGTCTGATTTTCTTGATAGTTTCAATTACTTCAAGACTGTTTACAGAGATGTCACTGTGTTACCAGACCTTAGCAGTTACTTTTTATCAGGTAAAATATTATCATAACCTATAGAAATATTTTCCCAAACTACAAAAGTAAGACCCAAATCAGAAGTTTTGTACTGTTCATGTTAATCTGTTTAAGAATCAACTTTACAGCATCTCTATCACCATGCACAACACCAAGATGATGTATTATGTGTTGCGTCACATGAAAGGGAGTGATGAATGACTCGTCACATCGAATTAAAGAACGCTTTAGGCATTACTTGCTTGACTGACAAAATCTGTTGCTCTGACTGGAAAGAATCTGAGTCTCCAGTTACAGACAGACACGTTATTATTGACGTGCCTATTTTTCCATTTGCACAATGTTGTACCATGATGTGCTTTCCTCATTCAGTCTGTGATATATGCTCCCGTTGGATCATACACATGACAAAGCTTTGGGACTGTCAGTCTCTTGGCAATGTCTACTTGTTGCCTCTGAGTGGCTAAATGTCGCTCCAGAGGGACTGGCACAGGATGCTGCCTGATGACTGTATTTTACTGTTTACTGGCTTTCAGGAAGTGCCAGAGCCCCCACTTGGGACTAGTTTGAACAATTTGACTGGCTTGACTGACTTAGAGGGAGGGAAAGAGGGAGGGCCTGTTGTCGGGGTGTTTTTGTTTAAGGAGACAGGCATATAGAAGCAAATGGCGCCCGCTGGATGGTCTCTCCATCCAGTGCAAGTGTTGCCCCAGCAGTGCAGTTTTAGATTAGACTCCAGTCATTGTTCCATGACTTCCTGCGCTCTTTCCGTTTCTTCCTTCAGATAGGTTACCGTGGCAATACCATAGCTGTCATGTCATGGCTGGATGGAGTTCAGCTGGTCTGAACCACTGACAGTTGGGGAATGTTGTGTAAAACAGCAGGGGGCCCAGACTTATTTACATAGCACATTTCTGTTGTTCAGACTTCACCTCCTTGTCAGAAGTACAACCATTATTATAACTGTCCAAAACAAGAATTTTAATCAGTTATTAGTTAATATTTTCAGCAACATTCACTCAGTGGCTGTAATTAGGCTTTTGTAAAACTTACTAACAGACTCAAATGTCAAAGTGAAAGTAAGTATGCCTATGAGCAACTTGATCTTTGCCACTTCCCTGTGCATTGCAAGAAAGCAATGTACAAGGAAGTAATATTTAATTACTTCAGAATGAGTCGTTTATATCCATATGTGAAGCTGGAGCAAGAGGGTTCCTGATTCAAACCCATGATGAACCCATTTAACACCCTCACAAAGTTATTCTGAGTATGATTGTCTTGACCAAGGACAACTGCAGTGGGCTACTCCACGAATGAATTCACCATGTAACGTCTGCTGCAACAGTTGTATGGGTAGTCCACTCTATATTACATTAGCTAAAGTTACTTGCGGTTATTTCATCAGAATGAAGTAACAAAGTTTGAATAAGGTGAATAAACATAATGTGAATAAAATCATAAGAGACATGATTTCTGCAGAAGTCACGTCAAATAGACTTTCATCAGCAATGGTGGTTCTTTAACTCCCATGACCCAATGCTTACACCAAAGTCCATCTTGTGTTACAGCTTTGATTAAGAGATCCCTAGAGGCAGAAATTAAATACTGTACGTTTAAGTAAACGGGCCAAGAAACACACGGTGTAGAAATAAATTAAAATGAGAGATTAAAGCTAAAGAGCGAAAGAGAGAGATTACCATTTCAAGGTCCGGCTGTCTGATGTGTGCTGTTCGATGTCAAAGGAAAAAAAGTACAATGTGCGGAGATTCATTGAAGAGCTGATTAGCGTCGGTGTCGATTCCTATGCGTGTATATTAATTATACAGTTGCTTTATCTGGGAATTATCTTGCTCATGGGCACACACATTCGCACACACAGCACCTGGCAGTCATGCAGTCTTATGATTGTGGCACAAGGTAAGAGGATAGGAATGGCTGGAGGAGAATGATGAGTCACATTAACCGCCAGTTAACAGTTGAACATTTTTTATAGAGATTGGAGGTTGTGCAATGTCTCATAAAACCCTCACCTGGCCCGCATGTACCCATTTCTTCTGTTTGGGTTGACGATGTTTAAGTAATTTACTGCCTGCTCATTTTTAATGAGGGCTGAATCATCTCCTTTGAGTCAAGAATCTGTACGATATTCTCCTTTCCTCACTGTCCGTACCTTCTTTCTTTTCAGGTAAAGTATTTGTCCCCAAGCAGAAACCCATAGACACACGCAAAGAGGAAGTAACAACCCTGGATCCAGAATTAGAGGAGGCCCTGTCCAGCGCCACAGATACAGAGCTGTGTGATCTAGCAGGTAAGAATAAACAAATACCTTTGAGAAAGTCATTGTTTAAAAAGCTTTGAAAAGATCACTCTGTTGGGGGTGTCTTTAAAATGGAGGCTGTTGTGGTTGTGAAAAACTTTCAGTGTGCCTGAGCCCAGTCTGCTGGGACTGTAAAACACAAGCTCCTTTCACTCTGACTGTCTCTCCCAGGGCTCCGTCCTTAACTGTGTGTGTTGATGGGGGAATAAAAAAGGGCTTACTGAGCAAAGTAACACCGCTTGTCTGCCATGGCCTCTAGATTTGGTTACCTTTTATTCACTTACTGGTGCATTTTTGAACCCTGGAGAACACATGTGAACACACTGATTCCTCTCCACAGCTGCTGAGTCTATGGTTTGCTTTTGTTTTGCAGCGATCCTTGGTGTTCACACACTGGTCACCAGTAGTCAGACATATGATGGGACTTCATCTAAAGAGGGTTACAACAGTAAGTACAACCACAGAATTTACTTGTGTTAATTCAGTCATGCCTAAAGGATCAATATCTTGACTGCTGCCTGTGTCTCTTTAGATGTAATTAAGGGGGAGAAGATGAACCCAGTGTTTGATGAGCCTCCCAATCCCACTAATGTAGAAGACACTCTGCAGAGGATAAAAAGCAATGACAGCTCCTTAACAGAGGTCAACCTCAACAACATTAAGGTACACAAAAACACAAGCTTTCAGAGTGTCACAGTGTGTACATGCTTGTCTATCCCTGGACTGATGGCAGTGTGTCTTTGTTTGGTGTTCCAGAACATCCCAATTCCCACGCTGAAGGACTTTGCCAAAGCCATGGAGAAGAACACGCAAGTCAAGAAGTTCAGCCTGGCAGCGACACGGAGTAACGACCCAATTGCTGTGGTGAGAGGGAGTGGCTTATATGGGCTTTTAATGGCTTTGTTGACACTTGACAATTCTGCATTTTCATCTTTGCCTTATCTCCTCCCCCCAGGCGTTCAGCGACATGCTGCGAGAGAACAAGACGTTGCGAAGTTTGAACTTGGAGTCCAACTTCATCACTGGGGCAGGGGTGCAGGCTTTGGTTGATGCATTGCGAGACAACGACACACTCACAGAGATCAAGATAGACAACCAGGTACCAGATGCTTTGTGACACACACATACATGCATCAGCACACCAGGAGTTAAAATGATAAGAGGCTTCTTAGATAAGCGGCAACCTCTGGGGCGGAAAAATGAAGTCAACATGCCTGGAATAGCCACTTGAGGTTGACTCCAGAAGCCAGTCAATCCCCATAGACGCCCAACTTTACAGCAGAAATAAACATTTTTACAGCCTCGTACGAAAACTGTTTGGGTCTGTTTTATGACAACTGTACAGAGGGTTATTTTTTGTATAACTTCATTGTTTAAATGTTGTCAGGTTTAAAGTTATGCATAATTAAGGGTATTGGTGCTTTGTGTGAAGGACTGTCTGTGACGCGTCATGACAGTCTATAGCCCCTTTTACACTGCCTCTTAAAGGCAGGAATGTTGTTTTATTATTCTGCCTCTCCATTCTTTATAAACGACACAGTCACAGAATGGGGGGATGGAGTTGTCTCGCCTTTACGCCTTTAAGGTAGCGGAGGTAGTAAAGCCGCCAAATCAACTTCTGCGTAAAAGGGACAGCCAGTAGGACGGGAACATGGACAAGACAGGTGTGACGTTGTGATAATGTGTTAATATGTGCAACCCACTGCTGGGAGATTTAAAAAGCAGCTGATAGCAGTTAGCAGCTAGCTCAGAGAGGAAAAACAGCAGCCTAAAATGTCCGCAGACTGGGGGAGACGAGGTCCTGGAGCACTTTACCCTCCAAGCAGAGGACGAGATTAGCCGCCATATAACAGGGATGGTAAATGATTGTTATTGCCATGTTATGCCATTATAATCGCCCAGAAAGTGCTGTCAACCCATATGTTACATGTCACATCAGAGGCTTACACTGTTGAGTTATATGCCAGCATGCTATCTAAAATCACACGCGGGGGTGGCATGATGCCACTGTTGTTTGGTTCTGTGTTAAAAGCAAAGGCAGCTTAATTAAGGGACTTCGTAGCAGCTCCATTGCACAACCTCTATGTTAAAAGGGCTTTTGACTCAGATGCCCATGTTGCTCATCCACAGCTCAGCTTTCTTGTCTAAGTATGGTCACTTCTGGCTCCAAATATTCAAGATGGTAACGACCAAAAAACCAAAGTGTAGGCTTCAAAAGTCAACAAAAGAGTCAACAAAAGGGTGACGTCACAGTGGCTACGTCCTATTATTTTTATACAGTCTGTGTTTATAGATCATAAAACTCTTTATAAGGTTAAAAAACTCCTGTTGCTTTTTTCTATATTTCATTCTTTTATTGCTGTCATCATTCAGGGTGGCTGTAGGTGATTACAGGGAACTTGTGACTAATGTCTTTGCGCTTTTTTAAATAAAGTGGTTTCACGCAGCCGAAAGTAGTGGAGAATGTTTGTGTTAAGCAGCGTGCAGTCGAAGAAAATGCCAACCAACACAAACCACTGCCTGAATAAAACACCAGATGAGAGTCTCCAGTAGTGGAAACGAAGTCAAACCATATCCCTTATAGTAATTTCAGCTATAAACCAAAGTGAAGTCTTAACTGTGATGTTCAGATCTTGACCACTGTATATTTTCTGTGTGTTTCAGAGGCAGCAGCTGGGCACTTCAGTAGAGATGGAGATAGCTAAAATGTTGGAAGAGAACAACAGCATAGTGAAGTTTGGCTACCACTTCACCCAGCAAGGACCTCGCTCCAGAGCTGCTGCAGCTATCACCAAGAACAACGATCTTGGTATGACACACACACACACACACACACACACACACACACACACATATACGCACACAAGAATTTGAGATTTGTTTAAACTTGCAAAACCTGGATGAGTTATAGCCCATTACGTTATCTCTCCACCTGGTTTCTCTCTCCTTAATACGTCAAAACAATTTCAACATCTCTGCAGTTCATCTGCTTTTACAGTGTTTTTTCTTCTTCTGTAAGACGTCAGTCCTTAGTGACGACCTCTGCTCTCTTTTAGCTCCTCCTCCTGTCAGAGTCGTGGTAGCGCAGGTCTGATGCATGGGTGTGACTCAGAGTGTATCAGTGCATCAAAGTGTTTGAATGAATTAACAGTATGGACATTGACACAGTGTGATCACACAGCTTTGAGAGTGATGACATCTCACTTCCTGTTTTCTGCACACACTGTTGAAATGGGTTTAAAACTTTGATCGCTGAGCTCATGATGACTTGCTTAGAGATGAACTAACAGGCCTGTGTAGGTTGAAGATCGTGTAGCATGTTTGCAGCTGTTCACTATCATATATTTTTAACTTGACTTTGGGAAAAAGTCATGCCTGTGGCTCTTTCTCACCCTACTTTTCATCTTTAGTCCGCAGGAAGCGAGTGGAAGGGGACCTGTAGGGACGGAGCCCACGCTGTCTCCCAGCCAATCCTGTCGTTTCATCTCACCATGTGGAATAATTTCAGCCAATGCCCTGGTCTCATCTCACTGTGTGGAAACTTTAGTCTTGTGCCAAACTGTGGGGCAAGGCGCGCTAAACCAGAACATACATCTGAGAAGAAGGGAAATAACTGGAATTGCCCCCTCCCCATTTACATGTTCATACTTATGTTTATTATTATGTTGTTATTGAAGGTGTAAATCTGATTAGTTTTTAGTCATTTCATTTCAGCTGCTCCTTTTTTTCGCCTTTATATGATCTGTTCAGACTTTTTACTTGCTTTTTCTCCCTTTTATATTACACTATAATCACGTGAAATAAACATGAATATTACCAAGTAACAGAAACAACAATAACAGCTTGTAAAACAGTAACTAACATTGAGAAAGCCCTGTATCCAAGATAGTTTATAGCCTAAGCTCCCAGTCAAAATCCTGTAATGAACCAGGAGAATTTGTCCCTAGAATGGTAGGGATAGCTCTGAAGTTGATGCTTGCGTCTATCAAGTGTTGCAGTCAAGACTGAGACCAGAGTGTATCAAGACAGAGTAGAGACCAAGCGTGAGTCCTTCACTGCAGGAATCATGATAAACTGTGGAGTACGCAAACAATCCACATTCCCATAAAAACATCCTCCGAAAACAAATGAAGATTTCACTTCATTCACCTCTTTTATTGCCAGACTGTACCATTAGAAATGTCTTGATGAAATAATCTAAAGGCATTGCAGAGGTGAATTTAATGTGAGCAAATTTTCTTTGTTTTCTATTAGCAAGCAAATACTAAGGAGCTGAAATAAACTTAGCCAACACTCCTTTATTGCTCTGGCAGTTCAGTGATATCCAAGCAGTTGTGGTCTTGACTGGTCTTGAAATAAAATCCTAAGTCTTTGGTTAACACCAAGAAGAGACTGAGTAAAAATGCAGTTGATTTTGAGACGAGTCCTTCAAAAAGCGGTCTTGAGACTTGAGTGATTTTGAGCACTACAACACTGTGTCTGTCTAGACTTAAGCATTCAATAGTGACATAACATAAAGTCAGACCAGTCTGTTAGAACCAGTAGTAGATTTCAGGGGTGACGCAATATTTGGAACATGTAAAATGTAAATTTGACAAAATTAAAGACATTTCTACCATAAATTGATGCAGAAAAGGGACAAATCGGTGCTTAAAAATTCACCAAAAAGCAGGAAATAAGTGTTTAATTAAAGATTTCTGGCGGGGGACACCCCTCATTTTTCATATGTGTCGCCCCCGATGTTGAAACGAAACCTTCACGCTTGGTTAGAACCGTATCTTACTGGCTGAATGGTCATAGCTTAGCCATAACCACTGCAAACCTTGTCTGACTGTACAGCTGTAAGATAACACAAGTTAACATAAGGTAACGCAAGATCTCTGTTTTACATTCCATCTGCATGGTGGTGTGCAGGTGTTCATTTGGAGTTGCCTTGTAAAGCCAGCTCGACTGTCTGGCTGGAGTGTGTAACAGTTAAGTTTGTGCCGGCCTCAGAGTAGATGCTGGCCCCCCCCCCCCTATGAATTTAACACTGTACGTATCAATGCATAATGTTTAATAATACATGACTGTTCTATTCTAACTGAAGACCTTGTTTTCGTACGGTTCACATTCTGATGTTGGTTTTTCTGATCGCTCATATCCCTCAACAGGAAATTATAACTCGGATATTTTGAATCATGTAAAAGTGGGATTGTACTGTAAAAGAAACAGGATATGAACTCCAGTCTAGACTGAAGAGGCTTTGGCCTGCGCTTACAGACGATGCTGTAAATGTCTGCTCAACACACTGGGTTTCTCCGATGCTTAATCATGCCAAAGACTAACACATGCAGTGCTTAAACTATCAGTGCGTAACATAACGGTTATTGGTTCAGGTTTTGGCTTTGCATCTACAGTCACTTCCTTGCAGTACACGTTTGGGGAAAAGAGTCTGCGGTTAAATAATAATGATTTAGATCACATCATGCCATTATATTTTATTTTTTGGGCCATTTATAGTTCAGCAAGTAGTTGCCTGAGATGTGAGGAGGAGTTGGCAAACACTTTCACTTCTCAGGTTATAGCTAGCAAAATGTTTCTATGAGCAACATCTCCCAGATAGAAAGTCTTGTACAGATCTTAAATTTCACTTTTCCTGCCTCCTCTTTCACACGTTCACTCAGCTCTCCGCAGCATCTCAGCAGTAGCATGTCATTCATTGTGTAACCGATAACAACATGCTACTGTATGTGTGCCTCACACTGAACTTCCTGAGGCACACAGACGTGCTCGAGATGGGTCTAACAGGACTAATTCAGGATTACTTGAAACTTGTACATACTGTTAATGTGTAATAGGAACAATATGCTGGCATGAACATTACTCGTGAACATCATGTTTCTATTGACCAAAAATGTTCTTTCATCCTAACCGCCTCACATTCCTTGGACACGAGTTGTATGGCTGAGTTCAGTACTTTGGGTTTTATATCTGTGTACTTCTTCCGCAGTCATATCTGATAGTATTTCTTCTTGGACCTCTTTTTTTTTTTTTTTTTGTTTTTACATTACTGTGCTTTGCTGGTGGACGGTTAGCTTCAGTGGAAAATTGCTTCTTTGCCTGGGCTTGTGATTCATTGTATGTATATTAATTGTAAAATGCCATCTCAAATTAAAACTGCACACACGCTCACACACACAGACTTTAATGTGTGTACCACATAAATCCACACAACTCGTTGCTGAGATTTTTTTGTACTCTAAATCAAAACCCAGGTGTAGATTCAATGTAAGGAATATGTACTATTGTAAAACCACAAGACTGGTAAAACGCACTGCTGAATATAAGACATCCTCAACAATAAATGTTTTTACATACACTGCCAGTTTTCTTGCATTTTTTTAATCTTTAAATGTATTTATATGTCACATTATCAGCCCAGTTTGCAGTTGCATAAGCAGTAGAAACATGAAATAATATTCCAGATTGATTTGACGAATTCATTCTCAGCACAAGCTCCACTCCACTCCACAAATATCCCAAGCTTTTAGCTTCATCCATTTGGTTTCGTCAGCAGATTGAGTTTCCTCAGTTGTCATGGAGATGCTCAGTTGTTGACAAAGGAGCAAACTCCATTCACAGCAAATGTGGCTGAAAGCTACACAGAATCTCATGTAAGTTTCAAGTTTTAGATAAGGTCAGTAATGAAACTTTAATTTCAACTACATTGTAGATATCTTGTGCATATTCATGGATAGAGATAGGTGGAGGTGGTGTTGCTATGGATGCATGCTAACATTTTCTGTTCAGTACTAAACACAACGTACAAAGTCAAGACTGATGAGAATGTCAAAAGTTTAGAAAGCAGTTTTTTGGTCATAAACCAAAGAATTGGACATAGAGCTTCAACTAACAACCGTTTTCATTATTGATCTGCTAATTGTGTTCTCGATTGATCATTTTGTCATAATGTCAAATAGTATGCTTTATCAAACACTCAAAAAATCCCAAACTTTATTATTGTGTATGACAAAGAAGAGTATGAAATTCTTAGATTTTCAAGGTGAGGGCAGATGGTGACAGGGCAGCACCCCGGTGGTGCAGTGGTTAGCATTTTTGCCTCACAGCAAGAGGGTTCCTGGCTCGAACCAGGGGTGGAGGGGCCTTCTGTGCAGAGTTTACATGTTCGGGTTTTCTCTGGGTACTCCGGCTTCCTCCCACAGTCCAAAGACATGCAGGTTAATTAGTGAATCTAAATTGTCTGTAGGTGTGAATGTGAGTGTGAATGGTTGTCTGTCTCTATGTGTCAGCCCTGTGATAGTCTGGTGACCTGTCCAGGGTGTACCCGCCTCTCGCCCAATGTCAGCTGGGATAGGCTCCCGAAAGGATAAGTGATTACAGAAAATGCGTGAATAAATGTTTTCGTTACCTTAGAATGACAACAATGTACCTTGATGGCAGTGGCCCCCCAAGTAGAGCAATGTACCATGCCTCACTGCAAAAACTGGTCAGGAGTGGCCCGAAGAATGTGACTGAAAGCTCAATGCAATGCTCCCATCTGATTAAGTATTCGTGGGACGTGCCAATACCCCAGAGGTACCCACAGTGGGGCCTTTTTAAATCGGACTTGGCTCTGACATGTCAAGGCATGGACACAGGACCTCTGGGGGGGGGTTGCTTTAGAGTCTGGCACTGGGGCGTTGGCAGTGGATCCTTTGAGACCTGTGGACTGTGAGGTGGGGTACTAGCACGTCCCACGGATGCTCCATCAGATTGGGATCTGGGAAATTTGGCGTCCAGGTTGATGCCTTGCACTCTTTGTCATGTTCCTCGGGCAATTTCTGAGCACTGTTTGTGGTGAAAGGTCAAATGATCGCCAGTCGGCAGGTCTCATCCTCTGGGGACCATGAATATCTGTACCACACACACTGGGATATTTCGTTCTGGATCAAAGTGTTCCACAGACCAACAAACAGCCTGAGCCATGCTGCTAGCATGAGTGAAAAACTGCCTGTGTGTGTAACTGCTGAAGTGCAGCATTAAAGCTGGTTGTGGCCAAATCTCAAATACAAACAGCATTGTTCATGCTTGATAAACTTTTGCTTTGGGAGGTATTCTAGGAGGTGAACGTATGCAACCTTTAATCAGATCCAGTTTTTGAGATTTTTTGCACATGCCTGAGAAATGATGTAATGCATATGACTCCATCCCTCTCTGGGTTTCCTGTGCCAGAGCGCTGCGGTGAGCTGCTGTCAGAGGAAACTCTGCACTGCTGGCAGTCAACTGTGCGGCTGGAGGGGGGAAGTGAATGACTCAAGAATTTCCACTCTGTGAGAATAGAGAGAGAGAGAGAACAGCAGGCTTGTGTCATATCTGTTAATCACACCAAGAAGCATCATTTCAAAGGAACAATCCAAACCCAGAATCTGACAGAGAGATATACAGTTGTGTGCTTATGTAAGTACAGTACAACTGTTCCCTCGGGCTATTAATATCACTGCTCCTCCGCATGTGGAAAAAATAGACAGTTTCTAGTCCATGTCTTTATTTGAGGTTGATGTCCAGAGAGCGCTGTCATAAAAGGGATGCTATACTTAGTTTCATGTAAAAGGGGGAGTCTCTGGCAATGCATGAAGGTGAAGCCTTAAAGGTCCAGTGTGTAGGACTTAGGGGGATATACTGACATACATGGAATATGGTATAATAATAAGCCATTTACATCTACATAGGGAGCAGGTCCTCATCCACGGAGATCGCTGTGTTTCTATCATAGCCCAGAACGGACAAACCAAACACTGGCCACTCTAGATAGAGTCATTTGTGTTTTCACGTCAGCCACCGTAGTTAGAAGCCCCTGATTAGCAGCTTAAATTCTTAAACATGAAACTCCTTTTTTCAGTGTTCTTACTGGTTTAAATCATCATAAATCATTTATTTATCCATCCATACTAAAATTGTACGTATGGACAAAAGCCAAACATCCCTTTGTCCAAAATGTTTGTAAACATGGGTCAGAGTTTCTCCCATCAAGTCTGTTTTCATAGATGACAACTTCTGCGTAAGAAGTGGCGTACACCTCTTTCAGGCCTCATTTCCTGTGTACGCAATGTTTATAAAAGAGACCCCAGGTCCATTTGCATTGGAGAGAAAAGACCTCCGTGGATAATTCAGCACTCGCTTAAATCTTCCTGAAAAAATGTGGAAACACGTTACCTGGTGCTAGGCTAACGGCCTGTTTTTGACGTGCCAAACACTGCTGCAGAAACACTGATTTGTAACGTAAAACTGCCTTATTGTGTGTTTTTACTGGCTTAAATCACAGTGCCTGTTTGTTTCAGAGAGGAGGAAACCTCTGCGGATAATTCTGGTAAAAATCACATGAGCGTGTGGATCAAAAAAAAAGTGAGCAAACATAGTAGCCCATCTGTGACATGCCAAACAGCGTAGAAAAAACATAAATTTGTAATGTAAAACTGCTCTATTCAGTGTTTATACTGGTTGTAATCACCTGGTCCATTTGTTTTGGAGAGGAGGAAACCTATGTGGATAATTTGGCTCCTGGTAAAAACCTCCTGAACAATGAACACTGAAGGAAATTTAAACAGGAGAAGTTTCAGCTGGCTGCCACCTGCAGTCTTCACCACTAGACGCCACAAAAACTCCATAAATCTTACACATTGTTTCTTTAAAGAAGATACATGGGTCATCCAAAACCAAGCTTGCATGCTGATTGTACAGCCCACATTATTAAAAATGAAATAGAAATTGAGACTAGTTAACATCAAACAGTAAGGCATCAGCTGATAATAAAAAAGAACCTACAAGAATCGGTAGCTGAACATGAAATTGATGCGATTCTCCTTGGCTTGGTCAGTCTAATTAGATGTGATATTAATGCAGCTGTTGGTCATGAGGTTGGATCAGGTGTAGCCCAGGCTTGGATGCTGACAAGGATTAAAAATCACTGGACTGGACCGACTCCAACACACACACAACACCAGGGTTGCTCCCACATGAACTTGAGTGATGCAGACAGACAGCAGATGTTGTGCATTGACAGATATGAACTTGTGTGTTCTCATCCTCTCCCAAAATGTTTGTGCTGAAATCTTTATGTGAGGACACTTCAAGTCACCATCAGTTATTTAAAAATGCTGCCTCTCGGCCCTCCCCCTCCTCCTCCTCCTTCTGCCAGCTCTCACACAGGGGCTTTGTTCTGAAACAGGTATGTTCACCTGCAGTGGATTTTCCATTAGAACGAGTGCTGTAGTGAGTCAGTCCTAAACAAAGCCCTCAGCATTCCCTCTCTATCATGACCTCATGTGCTTGGTAAACAAAGGCCCGCAGATTACAAGGGACAGGAGAGAATGGGAAGGGCGCTCGTATTGTACTCTGTTCACAAATAGCACAAAGCATAAAAGGTGTGAGTGAGTCACTCATTGAATAAAGTACTGTAGCACTGGTAAAGTGTTTGTATTAGAGGAAATAACTCTCATTTTAGGTTGGAAAGGATTAAGAAATAACCAGCAAAAATTCTGCTGAACTCACTGTGCTCCTATCTGGTTTCATTGCTGACGCCCCTCGAGGTGCGAGCTGACATGTTATCAAGACAAAAGAGCAACAACGGTGTCATCCAAACACTGCATCATGCGAGCAGCATCTGGGAGTGTGTGTTTTATCTAACCCTTCTGAACCTGAACCTATGCAGCTGTTTGGCTGAGTGTGCAGTTGGTCTATTATGAAAAACAGACAGGCTGTTTATATGAGAAGTGACGGTGGATTTGAAGATGTATTATGAGCCATGAATAGCCCTAATAATAAAAAGTGCATCCTGCCCTAAACGTCAGCAGTGATTCTCATTACAAGGCAGCCAAAGCAAAGCTGTAGTTTTATATTTCCTTTCCTTTTTGGTTAAAAATAGTAAGTTAACTCAGCCTCATAATGTCAGACACATTCTTTGAAGAGAAACTTCCGGTGCAGTCCCTGTTTGGAGTGGGAAAATAATAAACATCAGTGATGGAAAACTTGAAATCTTCTCTGTGTGCTTGAATTTAATAAAAAAAAGTTTATAATTTTAAGAATTAATTGGACGACTATACCATTCCTTTTATATGAAGGAGTTAATCCCTCTTGCATTTTATTGCTTATCCAGATAAAAAAAGTACTTTACTATGATGACAGGATCTATGGTTTTCAGCCTTTTATAATAGCTCAAGCCATTCGTTATTTTTGGATAAACAACCCTCCAAAAACAGAGTTTATATGTAACCAAAACAAGGCTGTAGCCATGGAGTCAACACTGAGGGGACCAAATCTGCCTGGGGGTCCCACACAGAAAAGAATAAAACTCAGCTCATTTCCTATTATATTATTTATTATGCTATT